TGAGCCATGCAGTGGCTCCGGTATGACGTCATGGGCTTCCAGCCCCTTGATCGAGGTTCTTAAACTTATCCCCCACCCCATCCCCATGCGGGACTGGGTCACGTGGTGTTGCCCTCTCCCCTCCTTTCTACCCCTGGGAGCCTTGCTTGGAAGTTAATTCGAGTACGGAGTTCAGTTCTGGTTATGGAGCCATAGGGCCTTGCTTGCGGCGCTGAGCCAGCCAGAGCGACTGTCAAATTCTTGTTCGGCTGGGAGTCCAAATTTGGTTTCGGCAAGTACTGGGCTGGTTCGCGGCCGGCGAGATCGCCCGCGGTCGCCCGTCGTTGGGTTTGTAGGACGGCGGCGACTCGTACCAGTTTGGTTAAATCTGTTTTTATAATTTATATTGTGTATTTAGTTTAGACTCAGCCTGTGGCCCGGCTATAATGTAGTAGTTATGTTTTCATGCAACCAAGGCAAATTGTTGCGCCAGTAAATATGGGCCATTCTGCCCGAGTTAGATGCCGCTGTGTGCGAGCATGTAAATGTGCAGTTAGTTCAGTTGTTCTGTTTAATTTCTATTGTCTTTATTAAATTCTGTTATTTGTTATTATATTGATTGCCATCATTTGTAACTAGATTTACTTCGCTGCTAGCTTGGATCCCTTACACTAACTTAGGGAGCGTGCGAGCACAGCACGAGAGCCGTATGACGGAGCAACGTTTCCCCCTCCGATTGTGGAAGGGTAGACGGAGCCGAAAGGTGCCAGAGAGTACAAGTGGTACATATAGTACCAGAGCGGACAGACGGCTCAAAAATTAAATCAAGAAACTTCATATTCTTATAGCTCTTAACATACACATAAAGTAATTTCTTTCTAGAAGTGCTCATGGAAACTGTTGCTGCACAAATACCTGCAATTACACATATCACATTCATTTGTAAAACAGTTAATTTCCAGCAGAGAAAATATAATGTCAACTGTGTCTTCTTTCTGACCATATTCACATCAAATCAAAGTATGCACTTTGGAAGGCTACAAATTTCTTATACTAAATCAAAATTCAGTAAATGAGAAATAATACATTGTTTATGTTGGCTGTATGCAAGGATCAGAAAAATATTCAATAAACAAACTTCACTAAATGCAAGAATACTATATCAGAATTTTAGTGGGTATGTTGTCCTCATGCTTAATTAAGCACTACATCATGAAGACACATGGGAAGTAGAGGACTAGCTCCAAGAGTTCTCAACTTTGGCAGCAGCTTAAGATAAGTGACCTACAGTCATTTTACCCCTTGGGAAAGATCTGCCAGTACCCACTGGATTGGAGGCTAGGTGGGCCCCCAAAGTCAGTCTGGTCATGGCAGCTAAAAGAAATTTGAGTCCCTCCTGGGAATACAATATGTGACACATTTGAATTAAATAATACACAAAGTTTTCAAGAAAGTAAAACATTATAAGATATTATACATCAGAATTTGATGATGGGGACAGAGATGGTCCCTGAAATATTAGCGATTTTTAACAGATTGACATGTCTAATAGCCCAAGAAGATTTTATTAAAGTAAAATATGAATCAACAAATTAATATACAGGGAAGTTCCTGATCAGATCTCAATGTCTGTATAATTTTAATTTGGCATGGGACAGCATCATGTGTTTCATTCACATCTGCAAGGATACGCAGCAGATTATTTGACATTATACGAACAGAGAACTCCTGTGGAACAAGGCTGAAAACAATCTCTTCCCACTTGATCATGCCCACATTTCATACATTCTGCCCCACTTAGAATTTCTTGACACCAAATTTCATATGTTAGACAAGAACGTATACAGGGATTTATTTATTTTCTTAATTTAACAGAAAATGGAATGTAAATTATGCAATGAAATAGCACTCTAAATTTAAATTCAAAAGGGAATTTTCATTATGTACATCTTACCCAAGTGTGCTTGAAGTTTCCACAACAGAAGCTGGTGTAACTGCACAAATGATAGCAGTATGTGCATTGCCCCCGAGTGATGACTGCAGTATTCTCGTGAGTTTGCTGCCTCGAAAGTTCACATATTGACTGCAACATAACCAGTCAATTTAAGGCTTTAGAGAAAAAGAAAACTAGTCCAACTTCTTACTGAAAACTCTTACATAGGAATAACAAATTAGACGCATATAATATGTGGATCTTCTATTGATAACTGTATTATTCAGATTTTTAAAATTCTGTATATGTCAGATATAATAAAACCTCCTTCTCTTGTACATGAACCTATGAGAGAAAAGTTTATGTGGAGAAGAATGTTACATCATGAAATAATTCATGACTTTAGGTTAGTTAAATGAATATTACATTGAGCTACACATGTGACTAAGGCAGAGAGAAAAGAAATATATGCAGAATTTTGAAAGGAGAAATTACTTATAAGGCTGTTTCTTGGAAGACTCGAAAGGCATTGAACTGATTTATTTGAAATTTATTTAATGATGCTGTCAGTAACTCAGACTATACAGTGTTGAATGACTGGATCTTAATGAACAATAAATTGGAAAGGATATGGAAGAAAATGGTTGGGGTCTAACTGCAGGTACTATCCTCTGCTTTCCTTGAAATGACTGAGGAAAGCCATGAAAAAACCAAGCCATAATAGTTAGTGACCAAGATGTGATTTGAACTGGAAATTTCCTGAACACAAACCAAAACTACTGCTGCTAGAGCTGATCTGCTCAGTAAGGATATTGAAGAATATTAAAATTTATCAAAAGAAAATCAAAAGTGAGATTGCGACCTGAACTGAAGTAGCTCAGACACTGGGCCAAATATTTGCCCTTAACTTTCAGCATTCATGATTAGGAATTCAGCAAAAGCAGTATGAACAAACTATTCCTGTAAAGTTCATTTTGGTATATGCTGGGTAATTTTCACTGTGTATCATCCTGTAAGACGTTGTTTTAACTCCAACTGCATATCATTGCGAGTACTTACTCTTGCCCCTCACTCAGCTGTGAAATAACATGACTTAGCATGAAAAGTGAACGGTTGATAGAGCAACCTTCCTTAAGACGATCTCCCTTGGATCCAATCTGATCTACTCGTTCAGAACCAGCCAAATCAACCATATTCAAATGTGAGACCTGAACCGCACCATCCTCCCCCTCATGGGGCACACGGCTTTCAATAATCTACAAAACCCAAATTATTCAAATTAGACAAATCTGCATTGAATGCTACCATTATAAGAACACGAAATGCAACTAATTTTATGGCACAGATTCCTTCATGAGAAGCTAAGAGTCACTCAGTTAGTCATAAGAGATCTTTGCCATTTATGGAACCCTGAGGTTCATTATTTTACTTACACGAACCCACCACTAGACACCTTTTGAACAAGAAAAATTCTATTCAGTTCTCCCAAGAGGTCTCTTCCCTTCAGTTTTTCTGACTACAATTTTGTATGTACTTCTCTCATATGTAATGCATGCCCATTCATACCACCCTCCTCGATTTGACCACTTTAATAACAATTGGCAAATTGTACAAGCTCTTAATTATGTAATTTTCTGCATACATCTGTTACTTCCCAACTCTCAGATCCTAATATTCTCTTCAACATTCTGTTCTCAAACACCCTCAATCTACATTCTTCCCTTAACCTTTGTAATCTAGAATCAGGGGATTTAAACCTCCCACTATCATAGTGCTGGCAGCTGGATTTTAACTTTTGTGTGATGGCACAGTATCTGTATTCAAGAATCTGTGATGTGAGGCCCTCTGGCTGCATGTATGTGCAACACAATAGTTTGACTAATGGCTGATAAAGGTTACAGTGACAGATGTCTTATGCCCACAAAAAACATGGGATAAAACTATACACTGTATTAAAAATTTTAACCAAAATTCAAACATTCTTTTTATCATAAAGTTTAATATCATTCCCAAAGCATATAATAATTAAGGTATGTCTGCCATTACCACAGAAACAAAAATATAAATTACCAGCCATTATCTAAAAAAGGGCTCCTTAACAATATACGTACAAAAACCTTTTATTTTCAAACCCTCATAATACTTTAGGATTCAGTTTAATATCCAAATTATTCGATACATGCTCAATAAGTGATATAATAACAAGCAAAACTGTTCTGGTCCCAAGGGATTAAACTAATATAGTAAGAACACCTATAAAATAGAAACGTCAAATGGAAAGCCAGTGTCCCTTTCAGATTAAATGTCAGACTTTAATGCACATTGAGGCATCAAGTAAAATATTCTCACTATGCATCAGTAATGCTTTGCCACAATTCCCAATAGATGGTATATCTGCTCACCCCAATGCAGCTTTGTTTTATTGCGCTATTGTGTTTCATGCTTGCCTATTACTATTAAACAAAGGCTGCTTTCTTGTTTTGAAACTTCCTTAGCTCTTCGTGACAAGTAGCATCCCCAGCAGACTCTAAAATTTACTACCTCTTATAAATTTTAATTTCACACAGAGTTCTTTAGTTTCTGTTCTGTATTTAATTAAACAGAGTTTTATGGACATTATATTCAATTTCAGATTTTAGTCATAGAGTATTCCTAAGTCTTTTACATTTAATTCAGATTAATTTTGTAGAGTTTATCTTTTTTACTTCAATCTTTCAAATCAGTAATGTTATTTAACCCTTCATATTTTATTCTCCACTAAGTTATAAAAACGGTAGAACAATATAAGCATGTAGTTTTGACAATTAAACTGAAACTAGAAACACTACACAGGCTTGAAGAAGGCAACTCATCTACAAATACAATTAATATAGGGAAGAGAACTACCCATAACATTTGGGGAGGGGGGGGGGCGAAATAATGATAACAATAAAAAATAAATTAGCACTTCTGATGAACTAGTGGTATAAAAAGCGAAAAACAATGACACCGTCATCTTATGAACAATCTAATACAGTGGAACCTTGCTTAACGAGCACCTCTCATAATGAGTAATTCACATAACGAGCAAAACAAATTGTAAAAAACAAATGACTCGCTTAACGAGCAACATTTCGCATAACGAGCGATGAGAGGGGAAGTCCCGGATTGTGCACTTGCTACATCAGTCTGTGTTTAGCATTCATTCCGCTAGCATCTTAGTGTCGCTTGTGATCATACATTTTTCCAAACTTGTGTTCAGACATATTATTTGTGATTTTTTTTTGTGCCAAGTTCAATAACCTTTGCAAAAATGTTCCCAAAGAAAAAGCCGCAAAAAGACAGCCATAAGAGAATAAAAATAACCGTAGAAATAAAACGTAAAATCATTGAAAAGTGAGAACAAGGTGAGAGCGTGGCTGATCTAGCACGCACATACAATCAGTCTACATCAACGATTTGCACTATCCTCAAGAACAAGGACAAGATTAAGGAGATAGATGCTTCAAAGGGAGTGACAAGAGTATCTACACAACAGTTACGTATTCTCGACAATCTTGAAAGGTTGCTCCTCATATGGATAAACAAAAAGCAATTGCAAGGCGACACTATTAACGAGAATATCACTTGTGAGAAAGCAAAAGTGATTTTTGCCGTCCTCCTTAAGAAGACGCCAGGATCATCAATGGCCGAAGAGGCATTTAAGGGAAGCCGTGGGTGGTTCGAGAAGTTCAAGAGAAGAACCGGCATCCACAGCGTTGTAAGGCACAGTGAAGCAGCAAGCTCTGACACAAAGGCAGCAGATAACTTCATCGGCGACTTCAAGAAGCTCACAGATTCTGAGGGATACCTGCCGCAACAGGTTTTTAATTGTGACGAGACAGGTCTCTTCTGGAAAAAGTTGCTGAAGCGAACCTATATAACAGCAGAGGATAATGCACTGCCCAATCATAAGCCAATGAAAGACCGTCTCACGCTGCTATTTTGTGCCAATGCAAGCGGCGATTTGAAAATTAAACCGCTGCTTGTTTACCATTCAGAAACTCCATGAGCCTTCAAGAAGTGTAAAGTCCAGAAGAGCAGCCTAAATGTGATGTGGAGGTCCAACAACAAGACTTGGGTGACATGTGACCTTATTACTGATTGGATCAATGAAGTGTTTGGTCCTTCTATAAAAAAATATTTGCTTGAAATGAATCTGCCACTCCATGTCTTGCTTGTTATGGACAACACTCCTGCCCGTCATCCAGACCTACAAGATGACCTCCTTGAAGAATTTAAATTCATCAAGATCCAGTTTCTGCCTCCCAACACCACTCCGTTACTCCAGCCCATGGACCAGCAGGTTATTTCTAACTTTAAGAAGCTGCACACTAAAGCACTCTTCAAGCGTTGTTTTGAGGTGACTGAAGGGCCCAATCTCACTCTCAGAGAGTTTTGGAAATATCACTTCCACATCATTGCCTGCCTCAAGATGATCGAAAAGGCATGGGAAGGGGTTACCAAGAGAACCCGGCTTTGGCCGGAGAGCGTTGTTGAATGTGACTTTGAGGGGTTTGAGATAGTACCTGTGGAGCCTGTAGTCAACGAGATTGTGTCTTTGGCCAAGATCATGGGGCTGGAGGTGGATAACAATGATATCGATGAGCTCGTGGAAGAGCACAGCCAAGAGCTGACCACCGAAGAGCTTATGGAGTTGCATTGTGTTTCACAGCAAGAAACTGTGGAGGAGAGTTTGTCAGAGGAGGAGCAGGTAACAGCAAAGCAACAATCTTCTGGTGTAATAAGAGAAATGCTGAAAGCATGGGAAACTGTTGCATCATATATTGAGAAGCATCACCCTAATAAAGCAGTGGCTATGCGCGCTACAAATTTATTTAATGATAATGCTGTGTTGCATTTTCACCAAATTTTGAAGCATCAGCAAAAACAAATGTCTCTAGACAGCTTTCTAGTAAAAAAGAATTAGATATGTATCATAAATAATAAACTAATTATTTTGATTTTTTTGTTTTTCGTTTTTTTGTTTTCTGCAAATCGAATTTGCATTCCAGGTTGGTTCATTCCACATAGAAGAAGAGAGATGAAGATGATTCACACTCGTTAACAATGTATATATAATTTTCTTTGAATAAACGTTATACATAAAATTTTTTGAGTATTTTTTTCGGCATGGAACGCATTATAGTATTTTACATTAATTTATATGGGAAAGATTGTTTTGCTTAACGAGTGTTTCGCATTATGAGTAAGATTCTGAAACGAATTATACTCGTTTAGCGAGGTTCTACTGTAGTACTGACGGTTTCATCAGTAAAGAGCACCGGTACCTCTATTCATGGAATAATCTACCTAAACACACAAAATTCTTCTTTCAATGCATTAGGAATGGAAGGAGATTTCCGTACTCCCTCAGCCTGATTAACATGATTCAAACAGTTACATGATATTTGGGAGAGCGCCAAAGATATAGAAATATATGTAGCAATGAACTGGTTATGAATGAATTTTGGAGTACTTTTGAAGGCAACATAAAACAGTAACACTTAGCCCTGAGCAAATATAGAACGCTTATGTGGAATTATCTCCCAATATAGACATCATTATTCCAATCTCATAAATAAAATAGGGACAGAATTACTGTATTTTGCTGTGGCTCTCATAAAATTAAAATTATTTGTGGTTGGTAAAACAAAAATCCACATTCCCTCAAAGGAACTAAAAACACAAATATGCCTGTGATAAATTTCAATCAAAAGGCAACATGGATGAATCATTCTATATTTAAAGCAAGGTTTGACAACATATTTGTGCCACAGGTGCATAAGCATTTGAGATGGAAGGGTTTTCCAGAAGAGGCTGTACTGTTGTTACACATTGTTTCAGCACATCCAAATGAATGTGTATTGAAATCGGACAATGGCAAAGTATCTGTGAAATACTTGCCACCTAACCTGACTACTCTGATTCAGAGAACAACTGCCACAATGAAAAGACACTATGGGCAATATGTTTTACAGAAACATGCAGATAAATGCAATGATCTCAAAATGTTTTGAGGAAGCTCTTTGTTCGATACCCTTATAAGTTGCCATATGGCTGGTACACAATTAAGTGATGAAAAGAAAAATGCTTCATGATCATAAAACTGGTGGGGAGGAAGATATTTCAGCTGCCAAGTTCACCACCATTTTTCAAAATACAGAAATCTGTGAAAACGTTGATAGTGTTGACTGTACTGATCCAGGTTACAAAGTGCTGAACGATGTTGAAATTGTTAGGCAGTGTGAAGAACATACAGACAAAGGGACATACATAATGAAACCGATAACAGTACATCAACATCCTTAAGAACTGCAAAATAACACACATAACACCCATGCTGCAAAGGGATTGCTGTGCAAATTAACCAGAAACAAGAGGCCTCACACAAATATTGTTTAAAAGAATGGACAATGACCATAAGGACAACATTATATTACTTCATTTTAACTAATTTTAATTAGTTATAATTAAGGTATATTTTAATTTAGAAATATCACGTTCACAAGCAATATGAAATTTTGACATGCTATACATTGTAACAATTTTAGTGAAACAGAAGACACCTGATGATGGTCATACACAGCCGAAACATGTTATGAGGAAGAACGGTAAATAATAATAATTTGCATTGGAGATGAAATATATTGTATGAAATAAATACACAAATTAAATATTAAATAAATATGTATGTTAATGCAACAGGATGCTTAAATACAATATTATGGTATGTAATTTGTACAACTGCAAAAAACTCTAAAACAATGGGAAAACAGTTAAATAAATGCAAGTTTAAAAGATTATTTCAAAGTAATAACTATGCAATTTTTAGGGTTCAAAGCAACTGTACACTGGGTACTGCTACACCTTCGCATTATCGGTTGTTTATTATTCACATTGCTTTCCTTCTCAGTTTCCATGGATAATTAAGAGTTCACCATATACCTCTTCATTTGAGCACACTTTTAATCCTTTCCAGAGATCTTTCCAATTTGCCCGAAAATAAAATAAAGAATGCAATATATATTATAATTAACTTACAATTCTAAAAATGGCGTGAGATCGAGAACTGATTTCATTCATATTTGTTTCACCAATATGCCGGATATTTTCTCCTCTCTTCATCAGCTGCATGATCTAAGAAGAATTAAAAAGATAAATGCTCCTCTCATATCATATGCACAATAAAGAAAAAACAGACAGAATCTTTACTGTTATGAATGCTAATTCTCAATGTGTGAATATGTTGGAAAATGTAAATTTCTTGAGCTCTTCAGTAGAATTCTACCACATTTTTAGTTTTCAGTTTCAATTAACTGACTTACTATATAGCCTTTAAAAAATAAAAAGGAGAATTTACATAAAAATATTATATAGTAATCATTCATTCGGAGTTCATGGAGGTAGGCCTAGACCCACTGGGGCTGTAGTGCCAAGGCGGGAAAAAAATCATTCATCACACTATAATTTCAGTCTCATCAAAATTACTGATATCGCATAATAAATCTAGCAAATTATGTTCTTAGACATATAACTTATACCATATTATACAAACTTATAAAACCGTGTCACGAATTATTCTGAGCATTGTCAAAAAAAAGGAAGGCTAACAACTGTCATTCAAGAACTCTCTGCCTGAAGAAATGTGGAGGTAAACCTCCACACATCCTAGATAGAGATGGATAGTCAGCTTCAAACTTTGGTCACACTACCCCAGTAACAATTCAACAGAACATGGCTGCGAAGAGAAAACATCCTGCCTCTGCCAGTAATAAAATTCCAGCCATGCAAGCCAGTATCAATATAAATAAACAAACAAAATACAGCATTAATAAAACTGGACAAAGACAGAATGGATTCCTCAAAGGATGATTTTGTTGTGAAAGATTTTTCCCTAAAACACATTATCAAAAAATAAAGAGATTTCAATACTAAGGCCTTCTGGCCATAACGGACTACAAAGAAGATGGAAAAGGTGGATAGTGTAATCTGTACCAGAATACAGTTTTCACATACACTTCTGATCCTTTGCATCCTGAATGTCAATGTTCTTTAGTTACCTGACTGAAAGCTAAATGCAGATTTCATGCAGCCATCATTCTGATGTATTACTTTTAGCTTTCCTCCGCCCATATTTTTCAAAGAAAACCTTAGAAAGTGTATATAACCTCATGCCACATAAATGAATCTTATTTTACCTTATCAGGTGTATGAACCACTTCCTCCTTGAGACCAGAAATAAAGACATTACCTTCCACTTCACAAAGTTTCAAGCCAGTTTTACCTTTTTCAAGTAAATCGTTTACTTTCTCGTTGTAAATTTCTATGTAAGATGCCCTGAAATAAATAAGCCAAATATAAATATGTTTGCTACAGCAGACACAAGCAAAACATCAGATGAATTATGCCATTTCTTGCTAGGGTGGAATCAGTATTAGAGCCAGGACTTGTAATCATGAAGTCCTGAATTCAAAAACTCAAGCAAATGCAACTCATACTTAAAGGCACTTCTGGTTTTACTCAGAGCAGCTAATATAATGGGACATGACANTCGGCTTCCACTCACTAACCGCCTCTTACCCCCGCTGCTGCTTCCAGAAACCACGCTCTTAACCATCTCGAACTTTCCACTGGGAGGGCTTCATGACCAAATGCATGGACCACTTCCGGTCTGCACACCTTCTAGAAGTTTCTCGAAGCTTCGAGCCACAGGTCCTCCACCCCCACAGGCACGGACGAAAGAAGGTATACCTACTTCCCCTTGAATACAATGGACTCACCAACCTCCCTTCAGTCCCTCGCAACAAAAGGCCAGTTCAGAGGACCATGAACCCTCCGGGGCATCTCACTTCCACAGCCAAACCCAATCGCCAAGCATAAACAGATAAGATACTTCCGTGAAGCGTGCGTACGGTTACAAACTCCCCCGTTAAATCAGGTAACTTCCGAAACACATGTGATGAAAGAAGTTTCTCTGATTTGATGACACTCTCACGTACGCCCTTCACGTACCAAATTACACTTAAGTTAAAATCAAACAATACAAGACTTCTTACACATATAACGGACCGTCCCCACGTTACAAATAAAATTTCACATGCTACGATGATAAACCTTATAATCCTATCATTCTCCTAGGATTACTCCAGTTACATCAAGTGGGTAGCCTTGACACTCAGTGATTGACAGTCTTTGCTTCGGGAA